AAAATATTTGTGTGATGGATGAATCAAAAAATATTTCTAAGATGCTGAACTTGCTTGAAAAATAATTTAGGGTGTTGGATAATTGTAGCAGAAAATACTTTAAGATATGGGACACATCTTAAAAAAATATTTTAGTGTGTTAGATGAAACTGAAAGTTAAGCCAAAATAATTTGTATGCATATATTTTTTTAATAAAAAAGACAAAAAAAGGGGAAACCAAAAAAAAAAAAAAAACTAAGGTCACACTACTCAGCAGCCTGATAAGCGCAGAATGCGGAATGCGAACTGCGGATGGGTCAGCTGCCCTCCCACGCACGCTTTATCTGAACATTATAGCTGGATTTATATTAGTTCAAATTAAATTATAATAAACGAACATTTTGGTTAAAAACCTCGAATTATAATAAAGAAAAATGAAAAAAATACTGTATAAAATACTATTTATCAACCATTAATGATTCATTGAAATTTAAGATGAACTTGGTACATGATATGATTTTACTTCCCTTTCTATCCTTTGTTCTCATATTTCATGTACAATTGGCACTTTCAAAATTTATTTTTCTCTCAAGTTATTTATACTTTTTGAAAAATATGGTCAGACCTAATCTTCTTTATTCAGGTCAAAAAAGTGACTATAGAGTATGATGGAATAAAATAATTTAACCGCAGCGTCTTAACTAATTAAGGACAATATCGAAATTATGCTTCACTAAACAAAAAATAGTGGCACCTTCAAATTTATTTAGTCTCTTCAAAAATTATTTCCATTTTTATACATTTAAGAGTCATTACAGCACCACTGCCAATAAAATCCAACTCATCAATTCTTCCCGTCCTCTGTAATTTTTCAACCCTAACATACAGATGTCCTATACCAAGAGCAAAAACCAAGTCATTTTTCCAACAGGAATCCATCCAAGTAATATAACAGAAATCCACACCAGTTAGTCAAGAGAAGTCTATTTTAATTTATTGGCTCCATCTGCTTCTCATAAAAACAAAAATATCCTAATTAATTAGCATCTTGATATCCGGATCCCTTACTAATTAACCATTCCCTCTTATCCGTGGTCCTATCTCATAAACTAATGTAGTGTATGTGGACACCCTTTAATTACTCTCTATGCTTGTGCTCTCTTCAAATCTATAACCATCTTTGTGCCCTTTAAAAACACTGGCTCCACACTTTGGACCTTCATTATTGGATGGCTTTCATCAACTTGTATCGTATTTCCCTTATGAAATATCAGTGTACCTTCTAAATGAGATTTTAAATTTATTTCATGATCTGAAAACTTGAGTTAATGATACTCCTCCGGTCCTTAATATAGGACCCAATTCTTGAGTTGGTTTTGATCCTAAATGTAAGAACCCATTTCTCATATTTATCAATTTTCTCTAAATTACCCCTATAGATACTCCCTCAACCGTAATTAAATAGAAGAGGGAGATGGGGTATTAAGAAAGATGATCATGGTGTTTTAGGAAAAATGTGTCACTTTTCTTATAATTAACTAACTTACCTAACTTCCTTAATCTAATCAAATTAGTTAAATGGTCTTATATTAAGGACCGGAGGAGTATCTTACTTCTGTTATGCAGAGGTTTAACTGTGCTCTACATTTACCACACTCAGAGAACATGTGTATCAGAAAGAATCCCACCACAATTGTTCAATTAAGATATTTTTTCCCCCCTCAAATCGTCATAGGAATATAATTTAACTACGAATATATATGATGCGAAGATGTTGAGTTCCTAACGTAATTTTGAGGTTCAATGGTTAATGAGTCGCTATAATGAGAGGGATATCTCTTGGTTCAATGCTACGAGAGGGGTCTTCTAACTTTGAAGATGGATATTTCTTCCTTTCGGCGACCAAGTCGAGGTTGACGGTACAGGAATAAGAGAGCAGAGAACAAAGGATAGATATTTCTTGAACTGGAGATTTCTTCCTAATTGGCCACGATATGAAAATTTCTGCAAGTCCATTAGTTGAAACTCGATCGAGATTTATGTCTTCCTCTCTCTCAGCCACGACATGAGAACTTGTTCTGCAACTCGATTCGTTCTCCATGGTCCATCTGATCTCAACCATGCATGGGATTATTTAATTTCTTATTTTTGACCTCTCATTATTTTTTCCAACAAGGTCAAATGTGTCTTCTTTTCGCTTTAAAACAATATTCAATTATATCTTTATTTTGTCTTTATTATACGGATCAAACTCCAACTTATAAGACCTCTGGTTGCTTTGGAGGTGTTTGGCAAGTGATAAAAGTGTTTTCAAAAAGTTTTTTTTTTTATAAATCGAGATAAACTCTTCTGCATATATATTTATTTTATATATTGTAAAATTATTTTTAAAACCATGGTTTGATATTTATCCAAACACTATTTCTGTCCCTTGGATTCATACTCTCTCTCTCTCTCAAATTCTTGCTACTGAGTGCACATAATAAAGAATAGTCTTTAAGAGTAGTTTAATTTCAATATAAATAATTATTAAAAATAAAAATTTAAAAAAAAATCGACACACATTTTTTAATAAATAGTTAGCTTAACTCGTTTATGTACTCACAGTTTATATTAATAGTTACGGGTTCAGATTATAATTTTAAAACAAAAGAGATATAAAATGAAATGAAATAAATGCCAAGACGATGATGACATATAAATAGTGTTCCTAACAAGAGAATTGTATTACATAACAATTGCAAAGACCTTTCATACATATAGAATGCTTTTAAGGACATATAAATAGCAGTTAGCGCACGCCTTTGAAGTGAAAGTGATGATAGGAGCTTCTTCTAATATAATAATATGTTTAGATTGGCTTTTTAAAAGTACAACTTCCGATCCTTAATATAAGAGCTTGTTTAAATTTTATTTGATCCTAAATATATGAATTTAATCTTTTTGTGTCTCTCATATTTATTATTTTTTTTACAAGATAGTCCTTATAATAATGATAGTTCTAGCTAATAAATTTGATTAACAAGGATATTTTAGAAAAGATAATATTTATTTATTACAAATAGCTAACGTAACTAATTTTCTTAATCTACTCAAATTAGTCAACTAACTTTGATATTCAAAACTGGAAGTAGTATAACAATAGCTTCTAATTATACGAGCAATGCCTGGCAATGGGCATCTTTCTAGAGAGATAATAAAAGAATCACAAGAAGATTTTTTTTTTTTTTAAAAAAGCTGGGATAGAAATAACAAAATATCTATTAATAACTTAACAAAAACCATCGCTGAAACAAAAACTTAACAAACTTAAACAATAACTTGCAAATATTTTAAATCAAAACTCTAAACCCAACCATCTTATCTCCCAAAAACAACTCATAAAACAAACTTGATTAGGACACATTACGACCCTTAGGTACGACAAAAAGGACAAGGAAAGTGATTTGAACAAGAACTGAAAGGCAATACCCTCCTCCTATTTTGCTTTTACTCGTTAATTATTCGAATAAAACACAACTGTAAATATGCAAATATGGAACGTTCCATCTCTCTCGCAGATGACTGATGAGAACTTCAATCATAATTCAGAATATCACGAACAAAGCGTCCCAGATAGGAGAAGGAAGATCCACCCTCCATCAAAGCCTTCTTGCTCATCTCGCTCATCTCCTTCACCTTCTTCCTCACCTCACGCTCCTTCTCCATCACTTCTTTTATTCCTTCCTCTATCCTCTCTGCACTTATCACCCCCGATTTGCTTACATTATGCCCCCTTTCCCCCTGTAATCCAATGAGATCTCCACACTCATCTTCAACTCGCGCACCAATTGGAATGCGTTCGTTTGTTGCTCCGCATAAAGCGGCCACGTGGCGATGGGCACACCGTAGTGTACACTCTCCAGTATCGAATTCCACCCGCAATGAGACACAAAGCCTCCCACCGCCCTGTGGGCCAAGATCTGGGCCTGAGGCGCCCATCCTATGACTCTTCCAATCTCAGCCGTCCGCTTCAAGAATCCTTCGGGTAGTACTTCTTCCAGGTCGGAGTAATCACCCGGCGCTTCCACCGAGCCCTTGGGTGGGGGTTTCCGTAGAGACCACACGAAGTGGACCCTACTTGTTTCAAGAGCGCGTGCAATTTCCTTCACTTGATTATCCTCATCGAAATAACCCCTACTTCCAAAGCACAAGAATAGAACAGACGAAGTAGGTTGATCATCAAGCCACTTCATGACATGATCTGATCCTTGTGGAACTGTCCTGTTTTCCCCTGCGCTTAAGATGGGTCCCACGGGATAAACGGTGAGATCACTGTTGGAGAATGACTGAACTGCATGGGATTCGAGCTCCTCGAACGTATTCACAATTACGCCCTTTGCTTTCTTAATCCTGCATGCATGGCTGAAGAAAAATTTCGCCCATTCCTTGTCCAACATAACACTTGGGAAAACATTGGCAGGAACATGGCTATCGAAACTCGGGATCGCAAACGCAGTGCCCGACTCCGTGAAGTTAAGCGCAGTCGTATCAACTTTCTCTCGCTCCCTGAGGGTGTGAACATGAAGCGAGAAGCCCAGAAAAGCAGCGCTCGATGTGAAGAAGACGATGGCCGGAACACGGAACTCGGCGGCTACATCAATCATGGTGGTGCAAAACATATCCACCACGAAGCCGGCAAGGCGGGGCGAGTCAGGGGCCGAGATGAGTTTGGACACGGCATCTCTGACGTCGAGCTTCTGGCTTTCGATGAGAGAGTCCAAGAAGGAAGATAGATGAAGAGGGTGAGATCTGGTAGGGTTGGGGTGCGGAGGAAGGAGAGTGAACCGAAGACGAGTTGGGAAGGAACCGGAAGAAGTGAGGGAGTGGATGTAGGCATCGACGGCGTCGTCAAATGGTGGTTTGATGACGAGGAGGGTGATGGAAAGGCGTTGATAGTGGGTGATGAGAAGCTTAGCGAATTCGACGAGGGATACAAGGTGACCCATGCCGGGACACGGCACAAAAACGAGCTGCGATTTCATGGCCGTGGTGCGCACGTACAAGTGAATAATGAAACGATCTGCTTAACTCTGGTGAAGATGGTTAGCAGTCTTGCAGAGTAGAGTAGACAGCAGCGAATCAACGAGGTTGTCGAGAAATAAAGGGCTCCATCACGTCGGATCCTTCTTTGAACCATCTTGGTGTCCTTGGCCTCCCCTACACTTAAGATGGGCCCCACCGGATAGACCTTAGGAAGATCACTGTTGGAGAGTGACTGGACAGCGTGGCGATTTAACTTATATGAAACAGTTATATATGAGACACATAAATATAAGAGAGGACGAGAGAGCTTGAAGTTGATGCATATCGAAGAATGCATGTGAGAGGTTACAATTGCACGTGGAGCAATTTTTCTTTTTTGGAGTTCATTGGCGTCATTTATATATGATGTTCGGATCATGAGAAATGTGTTTGTTATGGATTTTTTTAAAGAATATGTGTTGCGAATAAAATATTGTAACAAATTATTTGTGTTTTTAAAATAAATTAGTAATAAGATAGAAATCATCGTTCTTAAAAGATAAATATATGCTATTTCGGTCTTCAAGCTCGGGATGGCAAACTCGGCGCCGGAGTCCTTGAAATTAAAGGCAGTCGTATCAACGCCGTCTCGTTCTCGGAGCGTGTGAGTATGAAGCATGTACCCGAGGAACGCGGCACTTGCAGTGAAGAATCCGACGGTTGGAACTCCGAACTCGTTGGCGACGTCGATCATGGTCGAGCAGTACATGTCGACCACGAACCGGGCAAGTCGAGGCGAGTCGGTGCCTGAGATGAGGGCGGACACGGCTTGTGTGACGTTGGGTTTCTGGTTTTCAACGAGAGAGTCGATGAAGGAAGCTGGATTAATAAGATGGTGATCGGTGTTAGGGTCGTGGAGCGGAGGTAGGAGAATGAAGCGGAGACGTTTTGGGAAGGAAAGGGAAGAGGTGAGGTGAAGCGTGTAGGTGTCGCCGGTTGGGTCATTCGGTGCTTTGATTATGAGGAGGGTGATAGAAAGATTTTCGTGGCGGTTGACGAGGCGCTTAGCGAACTCGACGGTGGGCACTAGGTGACTTGTGCCTGGTATGGGCACAAAAACTAGCTGCGATTTCTTCATCCTATTGCGTGTCTAGTGAATGATGAATGGGAGTGCTTCGATCAGTCTTGCAGGTGAGAAAGTTATAGGAAAGGATTATACTCTTCCGGTCCTTAATATAGGACCCAATTCTTGAGTTGGTTTTGATCCTAAATATAAGGCCCATTTCTCATATTTATCAATTTTCTCTAAATTACCCCTATATATACTCCCTCAACCATAATCAAGTAGAAGAGGGAGATGAGGTATTAAGAAAGATGATTATGGTGTTTTAGGAAAAATGTGTCACTTTTCTTATAATTACCTAACTTACCTAACTTCCTTAATCTAATCAAATTAGTTAAATGGGTCTTATATTAAGGACTGGAGGAGTGTGAGAGGTAGGCTCATACCAGAAAATAGTTACTGTTCTGTTACTTGGCTTCTTAACTTAGTTAATTTGTTCAAACAGAAGAAAAAAGAACTTCTGGTCAAAAAAAAAGAAGAAAAAAGAACTGAGAGCTATAATATCATGATGTAGATGAAAAGAGGGAAAGACAAAAGGTCCGTCTGGGAGTAGGTGGGAATAGTTTCTTGTGTTGTTCATAATATTGGAAGTCCGTGGATATAAAGGCGTGGAAACTGGAAAGTGGAAAGCCACATAACTAGGCCAGCTAATGGACAAGTAAACTAGTTTTTTTTTTGCCAGCGAACAAGTAAACTAGTTAAACTAGTTAAGTTAATAAATAACTTAAATATTAACAGAACAGCAACTATTTTATTGATTGAGTCTATCATGAGATTAATTAAGAAAATCTGCATCGTTTTTTTAATTTTCCGTTAATTAATAAGAGTCTTGGGCATGGACTATGGACTGTGGAGTGTGGAGTCTTTTCTTGTTTTTTGGTCTGTGGAGTCTACTTTTGGATGACCACACAGAGTTTTCTTTTTTCGTAAAGAAAGGGTTAAGTCCGAAAATATATCAAAAATTAAATAATGGGATAAGTGAATCTCAAATAAGAAGTTTAAAAGGCCTACAACACGTAATAGAATATTCTTTTCCAGTTTGAAAATGCTGGGTGGGTTAAGTTCCTCCGCCAACGGGATTAACTTTGTTCCGGGCAATCTTATCTTCTTATAATGGCGAAGTGATCGTTTAATAATTTGTTTAATTAATAATAGTAACTAATGGATGCTAGGCTTTACACGCATCATATGTAGCCGACCCGTAACTCTCTTTTGCATGGTCCAAGTCATTGTTAATATTAAGCTTATGCGTGGCATAAACATTCTTGGTCCATATGTGATGTGAATCTAATACATATGACGACTCTAGCGATTTGTCTTTGTGTACCAACTAACGTTTCCTTAGGCACTAATCACAAAAGAGAACCTTTTCGCAAGGGTTCAAAAAGGTTTTTTTTTTTTTTTTTTTTAACAGCAGTTTATAATTGTTCTTTTATTCCGGTATTAAAAAGTATTTCCTACAATTGTTCTTTTATTCCGGTATTAAAAAGTGAAGGAGAAAAAAGTCCTCTTTCTACCCTTTTAGTTGGAGCCGATGTAAAAAATTGACATTTAATAATTTTTAAAAATGGGACAGGTTTTCCTGGGTGCATGTGATTTTTTTTAAAATGCCTAAAATAAAAAATAATACCCTTTATTAAAAAATAATAATAATAAACAAAAATATGCTCTACATATTTAATAAACAGACAAATGAAAGTTTAATTCAAGAATTACATAATACCAAAAAATTCACTACAAAATACAACAAAATTACGTAATATTTACCCAAGCATATACAATACCCGGCATTCATAACTGCGTGTCAATGTTGCAAATATATAAAAGCATATTTCACACAATTTGTATCATTGATTAAAATTTCAAGCACGTCGTCAATAGGAGCAATTTATAACTATAAGCTCAGGAGTAATCTAAGAAACCCCAACAATAATATCTACTTTGGCGCATATCAACTTCGGTTTCAGCATCTCCAAGAGCCACCATTTATATTTTGCCATACCAAACAATGAAATGCCAGATATTTAATCATATTAGGAACTGCACCGGTTAGCAATCTTTCAACAAATAAACACACGACAGCAAATCCACTCCTATTATTCCTATACTCTATCTTCATTTAGACAAATATCGAAGTGATAACCAAAATAATCATATTAGTTGACCTTGGCTCTGAATAATTTTATGACTCCAACTTGTCTCATATCAGAAATCTTTCTTACCTACAAAGCAGAGTAAGCTCAAGTAATGAGGCCAGGACAAGTGGATGCCACTTACTCTGTGATCCTTGAGGTTACTTAAATATCAAGGTGGTATCGGCCAGAGGCAAAAACTATGAAAGCAGGAATTAGAATTGGCATCCAAGAGGAGGATGGTCTTTGTGGTACAACCTATCCCAATATAGAAAGATAAAAATAGCAAAGAAAATTGAGCACAAGCATGTGAATTAGACAATTAGTCATAAAAATATAGAGGAAGCCAAGGAGAGACATACAAGATAAAGGGGAAATTGGACTACAAGAAAACCTCAATGGAGAAGCTGAAAGTATGATGCCTAAAAGGAAGAGAGAAAAAGCTCACAATGACTTCCCCAAGCGACTAGTACACAAATATGACCTTTGATATGATATATGACATATATTGCTCATCCCCTTTCAGCATTGTGGCATTCATATGATATATGAACTACTCCCAAAAGACTGATAAGCAGGCAACAAAACAGAGACGTAATCATGCCCCCCCCCCGGGGGAGATGAACAGTAAGATCAGGAAGGACCGAATCTGCATATCGGAGTATAGCATTGGTCAACTCATCACGGCAAAACTTAAGAATAGGAATACCATTCAACCATTTTTTTTTTGAATGGGGGAATACCATTCAACCATTTATTTGCTTACTGCACACCGAAAAAGGACCGAATCGGTAAAGGTGAAAAACAAGAATGAAGAACGAACTCAGACACTCACCCAAATGACGCATAAAATCTGCAAAATGCAAATCAAAGGCGGAGAGAACGAGCGAGACTAAGGAAGAGAGAACGACGACGATCGACGACAACGGAGTAGGTTGCGGTGGAGCAGGCGCGAGCAAGCAGAGGCTACAACACGCGTCAAGAAGAGCGGGTGAAGCGAAAAAAACGACGGGTAATTTCGCAGATTCCAGACTCCAGAGCAACTTTTATTTTCGAAGGAAAAAGTGACTACCGATTAATCGTACCTGTTTGGATATTATCCCAAACTTGTGGTTTGAAGTTGGAGTTCTTTAAATTATATTTTCGTTGTAACATATTTTTGGCAATTTTTAACGTTATTTGCTTGTCTTGTATTCTAAATTAAAAAAAATCAAATATATTTATCAAACGCCTTTATTATATTTGTCTTGGAAATCACGTATTAGAAATGCATATTTTGTGATAAAACTTCTAACAAATTTAACAAGCTGAACTAAATTTGATGCAAAGAAGACTGAATGGAATGCGATGTAAACGAACACCCAAGATGTTTTGCGCCATAAACAAAATCAAGCAATAAAAACATGATAAGTGTAATTAATAAAGGACCAAAATTCTGAGGCCGCGGATACATAATTAAAAACATCATTGGCTAGTGATATTCATTGTTCTTTTGTACACAAGTAGCTTCCTTCGGAGACCAGTGCTTTGTTCAGGTGATCACCGAGAGACATGTAGATTTTGCTCCGTCAGCAGGCAAAAGTGGAGATATCTTACCTGAACTTTTTTTTTTTTGCCAGATAAATGAACATATATAAACGGCTCAATCATATGATTCCAAAATAATCACATATCTATTTATATAAATAAAATTATACAAAATAGGCATCCAATCATAATTGTCCCAAATGAGAATTTCACTCCCAATTCAGTATGTCATGAATAAAGCGTCCCACATGAGTGTACGAAGATCCACCCTCCATCCAAGCCCTCTTGCTCAACTCACTCATATGCTTCACCTTCTTCCTCACCTCACTCTCTCTCTCCATCACTTGTTTTATGCCTTTCTCTATTCTCTCTGCACTTACCACACTGCCCAACGCTCTCCGGTAATCGGAGCAGATCTCCACCCCCAGCTTCAACTCACGCACCATTTCGAATGCATTCAATTGTTGCTCTGAATAAAGCGGCCACGTCGCAATCGGCACACCGTAATATATACTCTCCAGTATTGAATTCCACCCGCAGTGCGATACAAAACCCCCTACTGCTCTGTGAGCCAGAATCTGGGGCTGTGGAGCCCACCCTATGACTCTCCCAATCTCAGCCGTCCGCTCTAAGAATCCCTCCGCTAATACTTCTTCCAGCTCTGAGTCTGAGTAATCTGTCGGCGCTGCCGCCGCCGATCCCTTGGGCGGCGGCTTCCGTAAAGACCACAGGAAGTGCACTCCACTTCTTTCCAGAGCTCTTGCGATTTCTCTCACCTGCTTCTGCTCATCAAAATAACCGTCACTTCCGAAGCACAAGAATAGAACTGATGAAGGAGGTTGATCATCAAGCCACTCCATCACATGATCTGATCTCTTTGTGATCGTCACCTTGGTGTCCCTTACATTTAAGATCGGTCCGATTGGATAAATGGCGACATCTTTTTTGGTTTTGGAGAATGAGTGAATCGCATGGGGCTCAAGCTCCTCGAATGTATTTACTATTATGCCCTTTGCTTTCTTCATCCTGCTCGCATGGTTTAATAAACGCAGCGTCCACTCTTTGTCGAACATAACAGTAGGGAAATAACTGACAGGAACAGGGTTCTCGTAACTCGGGATTGCAAACTCAGTGCCCGAGTCATTGGAGTTAAGCTCAGTCGTGTCCACGTTGTCTCGCTCCCGGAGTGTGTGGATAAGAAGCTTGAAGCCCAGAAAAGCAGCGCCCGAGGTGAAGAACACCATGGAAGGAACCCCGAAGTCGGTGGCCACATCAATCATGGTTGTGCAGAACATGTCCACAACGAATCCGGCGAGCCGAGGCGAGTCGGGTGAGGAGTTGAGTTTGGACGCGGCG